GCCTATATATATACATACACACACATACAGTTTTTGTGCTGATAAGCCTGAGTGGTCTGTTGACTGACCTTTATAATTGTTCAAATACTTGTTATGGGCAGGTTACAATATAAAAATGTTTGTCATTATTATGTCTTGTGATTATTTGACAGKAGTTTTACTTTTAAACTGTAAGTGTATTTAATGTAGTTATGTTAGTTATGATAGTTTAGTTATGAAGTAAATACAATAAAAATTAAACCAAGATTTAGAATAATTATCTTTTTGATCCATACATTGTTAATGTCTGACTGGGCCTCGTGCCACTTTATGTTCAACAAATTGGACCCTGAGGTCAAAAAGGTTAAGAACCCCTGTGTTAGGTTAGGGTAATTAACACAAAGCCTTTACTAATGAACAAACATTCTGATAAAACGTTTGGACTACAACCACTGGACCATTTAGAGTTAACTGAGTTTTTGTACATCTTATATTTTATATTAAAGGCGTTTATCATTTGCTGAAATTTTTATTTTTTGCCATCCTTTTTTCCTTTTAGAAGACAACCTATGACCTACTATGGTCAAAGGTTTTCTCTTGTTAGTTTTTTCCCAATGTGGGCACAACTCTAACATTGGTTTTACAGCACYTGGTATTCCCAYACGGTCTCCCATCCAAATACTAACCAGGCCCAACCCTGCTTAGCTTCTGAAATTGGATGAGAGCTGGTGTTCAGGGCGATAAATTAGGATTGATGTTACAAAGAACTGTAAATCAGATTAAATTATGTTATGTTAGGGCCACCTTTCCATACTCCAGCCATGACCCGTTCTCATCCTTCCAGTACCAAACCCACTGTGTTGTCAGGATGAAGTGGGGGGGATGTAAGACAGAAGAGGCCGTGGACAGGCGACGAACCGGAGACCCTCCATAGGACATTGTTTTAAAGTCAACACATGGCTTAATGTTAGACGCAGATCTGAAAATAAAATACAAACACAGTAAACTTGACATCACTTCAGTCAACAATAAAAATGTGAGACTAATGAGCATCTGTATTTTTCCCTTCACATACCCCAGAAAAACTGTTCTGAAAAATCCTGCAGTATGCAGTTGTTGATCCACGCAGCTTGTATCACGTGCTGGGTCACAGAACGCTTTCTCAACATCTTCCATATCGGGCACGTCTTTCCAAGTCATGCCGTTTGTGTCGGAAACCTCCCATTTGTAAGGCAGGTGCCAGTGGACACGGACACAACTCTCTGAGACAAAACACAYGAGGCACCAACTTACAAAACTACGTACGGTAATCGAATGCGCAACAAACGTAAAAAAGGTCAGTTATACCTCTGAAACTGCAGTTAGTTCGAATATTGAACAAGCAGATTTCATTCCTCTCAGCATCACTTGTAGGTTTGGCTTTGGTGGGAGATGCAGGGTTGGTGGGCAGTGTCTGAACACTGACCTTCATCTTTGAAAGCACTGCAGGAGATTTACATTTAGTGTAAAATACTGCTGTCAGACATTAGTCAGCAAATATAATAGATCATTTCATAGTTATGGGTACTAGATCTTCTGGGTCAACAAGTAAAATGCTGAGGTTGCTATGAAAACGCCACTGGAAATGGGCAATATTTAGAAAAAAACAATCTATGATACTAAAAGAAAATTTAACACTAATCAGTTCGGAGCAAATGCATCTGGTCTTTATAACGGCAAGAATTTTAACTACGAAATGGTCTACTAATACATATTTAAAATCACTTACTTGGGACTACAACAGCCTGCCTGGACTGTTGGTCCATGATGATTAATTTATTTCTGTAGATCTTGTAAAGGTTTTGAACGTTCTCTGGGCTGAATTTCTGAAAAAGCTTCATTGCGCGTGCGTCAATACAGTGGGCTCTCTTGCACGAAGCTCCAAATCTACAGTGACCCTGGAAGAAGTGCTGGCAGGCATGGAGCTTTGTGCAGGAGGTGGTGAACTTGCAGGAGCCAAACGGACCGTCACCCTTGTTGTAATGTGGGCATATCTAAAGGTAAATCGTTGGTGAGAATACAATTTGGGTGATTTAAAAGAAAAAAAGAGGTAATTTTTGCCAGTAAAACTTACCTCGGGAAGCAGAAATGGATCATTCTGCAGCAACAGCTGGAACAGCTGTTTCTCCGTCAGACCCTGAAGACCACTTCTTTTCAAAAGTGTTGCATTGTACGGAGTAGCCAGACTGTGTGAATTTTTACACCTTTCTCTAAAAGTGACAGAGTTCAAAGCATTTGTTTAATTAGATTAAGAATATTGCCATTGTTGGTTAAACAGTCATCGATTAATGTTCGACTCAAGTGTAAAACATGATCCACATAATACCCCAGTATAGAACAATAGGTATGTTTTGTTAAGTAGAAAATCCTTATTTTTAGAGAACTTGTTTTCAAAACGTATATGGGCAATATTACATTTCATGAATGATTATGGTGAGATATTATCATTCAATGAGTTTTGTTTAAAATTCAATCTTGATTTTGATGTTAAGATTTTGATAAAAGCTATACCAACACATCTTAAATCTATGGTTAAGGAAGATATGCTCTACTCTAAAACCTTTCCTGTTCTGAGTCAACTTTAGATAAAAAAAAAAATTGAGTTTAAAGATAAGAAAATAACAAACAAATTCATGAGAATTTTACAGAAAGTTTTGTTCCCAGGTTAGGT